ATATTCACTTACGCCTATTATTATAGTTATTGTTGTCGCTTGTTGGCGTGGAAACACACTTTTGTGTTCTTGATCCGAATCGTGTCGGTGTCCTTTAGAAGACACTGAGAGGGTATCTAGTGTAGATATTCGTCTAGGGCAAATTAGTGTACTATCGGCCTAAAGGAGAAAACCGAATCTTATTTCAAAATCACTTACCATTGAAGAAACGTTTATAAATTGACTTTTGTTTCAAGTTGATTCTATTGTTCGAATTGATCAGTGAATGTTTCGTATTTAAATCTACCAGCACAAATAAATCAATTTCCTTATATATTCTCTGTATTAATGAGACAATCATAAAATTACAGCTTAACACAGTGGCTATTTTACATTACTTAATCAAGAACGTCAAATACTAAAACCGTGTGCAGTTAGCCACAATTACAAATCGTTTCATGATCAATATTATCCTATGTAATTTGATTACCAAGCATCGAAGTAATTGATATTACCTAAAACAACTTTTTCCCATACATTATGAGCAGGAATAGACGGTGGCTAGCAGTGAAGTCCAGGACGCGCGTTTAATCGTATTTGAAACTCGTCACCTGAATGTACCAGCATCACAAAGTTGATTCTCATTGCAGGATCCAAACCCACTACCGTTCAATTCAAAGCCATTGCGTTATCCACTTAGGAACTGAGTTTAAACAGCTACTAGTTTGTGTAATTGTAGTCCTAAACATCACTGGGAAGATCCGAACAAGCAATACAAAATGAATTTTCGCCATCCACTTTCCTTAGCAAATGAATTACTATCAATGGACTAAATACGTTTTCCTCATGTGATTATAGCAAGGTAAGAAAAACAAGTGAATACCTGATATTATCATAATTTTAACAATTTATTTCTTTACTTACATATTTACGATAAAATAATTCTTCAAACAATGAAACAATATAACAGAAGGTTGAATAGGTCCCGTAAACAATCAACTGGGTTTTGCAATGGTATAGAAATGAAAATTTTGAAAAAGATTTCGCAAAGCTCGAAAACTGACTGATTTTATTTAGACAACTATGAAAAACGAGGAAGCACTAGACAGCTGTTTTATGGCAATATTAATAGGTGCACCTCAGTGACAGTCTTCGTCCGCGAACTACGTGGTTATTTTGTGACGTAAACTTCAAGACTCGATAACTTACACAAACACATTAATAATGGTCACGAATCCAGTATTTACTAATTTTCAAAGGTGATTCAAAAGGTACAAGTGAAAAATTGTGACCAGTAGAGTTCAACCGTATCGGGTGCAAAACATTTACTTAACAATGATCCTGAGAGATGGTTAAATAACAACATGGATTAATTGAAGTTGCAGTTGTGAACCGGTGGATGCCAAATAAATATGTTAAAGGTTAAAAGCTGTTCAAGAAACCTGAAAGCCCTGAGTTCAGTCCCTAACATGGTCATGGATGCACACTGTCATTGATAGTTTTCATACCACAAATAACTAGCAGTGGACTATTTTTTGTTATCAGTGGGTGCTCAATTAGGATCGATTCGTGATGTAAACTACAACATTCAACAATCTTTACAAATCTATTAAACTAACCAAAAGCTTTTCTCCTAAAAATCGACACAAAAATCAAGGATAGAAAGGGAAACAGTAGAAAGACAATTGATGGACAATATCTAAGACTATTTACAATGAATAAAAATCAATCTAATACTATACATTTCAATTACTGTGACCGATTTTACTTTGCATCAGTCAGGATCTTCAACCATTAACATTTTTTTATAGATTTGAACCCGAGAAAGTAAACACTGAAAGAAATTGGTATTCAAGTATTTTTTACTAAACATCTTTTCGGTCAGAATCATGGTTTGTATAAACAATAGTTACTCTTTTAGGTTAAAACTAAACTCATGTTATCAGTTGGCCTTCACTTACCGTAGTAATAAAATTGCATTTCAGTGTAAACATACTAACTTATTTTACATTGTCTAACGGTCCTAATAAATGTGATTTTCATCTATATTGTTTACATTAGACAATTTATAATACTCGTTTTCTCATTTAAAATGATATTAACAATGGTTACATGTGCTATAAAAAAAACTCAGCTTTCAGCATGTACTGTGGTGTGGTTTCTTTCGAACAATTTCGAAATTAGCTGTTGTTTTGCCAAAGTTTTTATACTAGGAGTTTTTTTACTCCATTTTTTTATATTTCTTATTAACTCGTTCAAATTTCACTGAGTATATTTCACACCATACTTCGAAATAAAAATTGTGAAAACATTTACATATTTAATCACTTAGCCATTTCCTCTGAATGAATTTAATGAATCCTTTAGTTAATTCTATATAGTAAGTAGCCCCTATGAATTTGAATAAAGTTGAAACAAAAACTATAACATAATAATATGAATTAATTTTGTTGAATGGTTTCTGTTCAAAGGTTATTAGTATTAATATATATAAGCTTATATGAAGTCGTCTGAAGATGGAGTCCGGAAATTGATAAGATGGACTATGACAGTCGTAGAAGATTTGAAGTGTTTATGTAAGTTTAAGACCACTTAGAAATAGATATAAAGAACACAGAGCTATAGGATGATAATTAGCTAGAATTCGAAACTGATTTTATGAATTGAGTAATAATCAATATTCGATACTCCCCTTTAAACTGAGTGATCTAAAGAATGAGGAAATTGATTACGTTCGTTTTGCACAAGATCCAGTGTTAGAAAATATCGCATTCAATTATCAAGACGTATCTGATGAATAAATTAACCTAAATTTCTAAAGTGAACTGATCATCAGTCTACTTCATATACTCATATAGAACCCAATTAAGAATGAGAAGGGGTAAATAATGACTTTAGTATACATTGGGTTTTGTTTCCTTACAAGAGAAACTTGTACATAAATTCATATGTCGATATAGTTATCATAAACCGTAAAACCTCAATGAAAGACACACTGCTGACTAAGTGATACTGTCAATATGTACTTAAAAAAATCCTTCCCCGCAGCTTTGGTTTCTGATTTATTAGATACAACAACCCCTAATCTGCTTCTTAGCCTAGGTTAGTCTAAACGACAAAGATTGATCAAACTACCAATTATATACATCCCAGATTGATGTAGATAAGCAGTAAGTGTGTATAACTAATTTACAATGTTCTTAAACAATGACGTTGAAACGCACTGTGCAAGTGATAGCTTGTAATACCACCTGGCTGTCCAAACTGGAGAAATGAAGCAAGTTCTAGACCTGTCAGATCCAGGTCAAAAGTCAGTTGTTTGTATCACCAAACCAAAGTTCTATGAAGCTTGTGATATAGGGAAACTGAGAATATATGTATTGTTAGTAAACACCGATTGAAGATACTGCTTACATAGAGTAATATAAGGTCATATTACTGAAATAATTGTCGACCTAACTCTTTGAATATATGACTCTATTTTTCGGTTTTATTATAGACTACTTTGTTATGCTAACAGCCGATCAGGTTAAAACTTGGTCCATTTTAATAAGAGCCCATTTTATCTTGAGAAAACCCAGATAACTTTCACTAATTGTCAAAGAGCTATTACCTATCGTGACTGATAGGCCTAAGCTTTCAACTTATCACCTTGAACTTGGTTCAGCTAAATTCAAATGCACAACTAATAATATCACTATATTAATAAAGGTCGATTTAATTCTAGGCTCCGAACAAATTATTTTGATTACATCAGAATAATTTAAGTATATCCAACCCTGAAAATTCAAGAATTTAGACTGAACAGCTAATTCATGTAATTCATGATTTTCAATGTCCCTTGAAAACTTCAATTCATAACGATAACACTATAAAATACATTAGTCGAAGACAGAAACAAGTCATCATTTCTAAAGAGTAAATACACTGTTTCTAGAGCAATCATTTTGAGAATAAGTATCACGTTTTCATTATCGTGAAAGCTTGAAGTTGGTAAAATATAGTATTTTCTATCTCACTCGTCCCCATGAGATTGAAAAAACATATTTATTCCTCACTAGTGAGGATATTTGGCTCCAGATCATAGTTATTTGCTATTCAATATTCTATATAGGACAGTCATTTAGATGAATTGTCCATGAATTAAGGATGATCGAATAACAAGATGACGATGAGTGAAGATAGAAAATAAATATATTATGTGGCACAGTAAAATAATGCTGTTCGGTTCTAAGTAAAAACAGTGTGCGATTTTATGATAGTGTGAACTTGAATCCAGTTGAATGAAATGTTACATAGGCTAAAATATCATCATGTGACTAAACTCATAGCCGAATTAATATGTGATATTGAGGTTTTTTACATTATAAGAGTGGTTAATATTCCTGGATCTTCACTATCATAAACATATGACAAAAGAGATGAGAGTGGGCGCTATTCAGATATGCGTGACAAAAGCCATTTTTATGAATGATTAACAGACATACTGATATCACAGCATACCATGTCAAAACATCCCTCTTGTGTAACGCAGAACTTATTAATCAAAAATGATAAAAAGTGAATTCAGACTCAGTAAAATCTAAGTACCGATTTCGAACTTTGTAAGTCAACACAAATGATAGTCCATTAACAGCACCTTAATCGACTATCGACACATAAAATTAACCTCGCTTATGACAGAGAAAAACATTAATTTCATCAATACACGATATTATTTAGGTGACCAATCAAAAACGTTCTCAACCTTTGAATGATATGTATCACCATTACGCAGTCCAGTATCTGTGACCAAAAAGATGGTTTTCACTGTTTTGTGAGGAACGTTGACATCATTTTGTAATTTTATTTAATAAAGTCTAAACTGACCTTGTGAGTCGAGAAAACTTCCCGAGTTCAAACTTAGATATAACAACTTTTAGTTACATAGGTTTAATGTGAAACACTGTATATGTAAACATATAAAATCCCTTACTGTTTAGACATGACATATTAATAACGTATATGAACCAAGTGAAATATAGACTTAGTGAATTTGCAATTTATTTGACAAAGCTATTCATCTTAGTTGAACGAACAGATATCAACACTAGCAAGAATGGTTTTACAGTTGAATTTTTCACAGATATTAACTGAGATTGGTATACTATATGATATAATGACGACAATTGCCACACGATTTATTCAAGAGACTAAATTAGAAGTGATCAATAAATTCGTTCATACGTTATTAAGTGAGTGTAAAGAGCAGTTCTGAGGTTACGTTTTCAAAGTAAAAATAAAGTGGCCACTGATATTCTGTGTTACTGAGCAGCTTCACGTTCAGAAGTCCATAACTGAAAAGGCTTTGTTATTGTAAATTAGCAACTTACAGTTAAGTTATCACGAAGAAGTTGCATTACAAGTGTACTATCTTTGAAGGAACCACTTTCAGGTTGGTCCAACTGTCCGATTGATTCATTAAATGCAGTCTGAGCAATTGAGCATGCTTTTTCGGGGTTGTTTTCGATTTCATAGTAAAACACAGAGAAGTTTAGAGCTAAGCCCAGACGGATTGGATGAGTTGGAGGCAGGTCACTATTTGCCTTCTCCGTTGCTGCCTGATAAGCTTCCCGTGAATGTTTAACAACATCAGCACGTTTGTCGCCAGTTAGAACCTCAGCTAAATACCTATAATAATCACCTTCCATTTTCTTATAAAACACGATTCCTTCAGCTGTATTTTCACTTTTGAGTAGTGACTCGTGTAATAAATCCTAATAAGAAAATGTGGTCAGGAAGACTTAGAAATCTTACTAAGACTTCCTGGCAGACAGCTTGTAATTCCTTCTCAATAGTGCTACGGTATTCTCCCGCTTGTTTTTTCTTCTGATCATCCAATCGCTGTTCAATGTTTGAAACAACACGCCAAGCTGATCTACAACATCCAACTACATTTTTATAAGCCACTGAAAACAAGTTTCGCTCCTCATTATTAAGTTTTTTTGACGTCTCAACAACTTTCTTCATAGCACACGCCATATCATTAAATCGCTCAGCTTGCTCCTGAATCTTAGCCAACGTAATCAGAGAATCTCTATCCTTGATATTAGATTCATTAATCCAAGAGTCATCACACATTGCTAATATCACGAGAGTTCACTGAATAAAATGCTACATTTATCGTCGGACAATTAGAAACGGAAGTAAAATAGTGAGTAATTTAGTTCAATTTAAAAAAAAAATTAGAAAAGAGTATACTATTTGATAAAACAACTTCAAGTAAAAAAGGAGCATTTAGCTACCGATTGGATACCAAATTTTAGTTCGCAAACACAAAGGCAGTGATTTTGTACTGTAAAATGAATGTTCGTAATGTAAAACTCCTTTAGAAAAGTAAATATGAAGACTTGAATTGTCCTACTGAAACCATATCAACCAATTACATAGTTCTGATTTTCCAATTTATTGGTTCATAAGTGGAATCTCTGACCAAAACAAGTAGTATCGGTCAGCTCAGTAAATGACTTCAAAAAATCGAATCCAAACAAAGTTACTCAATGGGAAGGTTGACCCATGTCATGACGTACTACAAGAACTTGATTGAAGATCCTAGTGGCTATAAACAAAGGTATTAGCTTTAACGATGACAGACAGAAATTTAATATATGAAAGTTGTCTAACGCGGGAACAGTTCAGCTTGACAGATAATCTAGTTGGGGCTCACTGATATTTCATTGGACTTATAAATGAAATCTTGGATATGAAAAATTTCACAACCACGAGGACCTAAAAGTGAGAACAAGTTTCAGGAATGATACAACTACATTGGCTGTAGGGAACAGAACGATGATTAGATCGAGTTCCTAAACATTAATGATTTGATCTTTCGAAGTAATGAAATCGACATTTTGGGATGGATCTAAATTGAGTAAAAATTTTAGTCAGAACCTCCGTACGGAGGTTCGACGTTGGTCAGTGGTTTGATTATAAGTCCGAATTAACAGAAATATTCATAATCTCCTCTGTTTTCTTCATGACCAAAGTCTTCTTCATTGAAATTCTGGATTAACATAAGCTAATCTTTTCTACAACACTAAACGAGTATCAATAAAGTCAACACTATTCATATTATTGAGCTCGAGTGCTATCTTATTGCGTGCCATACAAGAAGATGTGCACGGACACTCTATTGGATTTATAAATAAACACATGAAAATCCAAAATAAACAAAACAACGTTGCAACATCAAACTAACTAGTAAGCCAGTTGGATACTAACTAGGCCAGTCGATAACGCGGGTTTTGAATTGGTGAGTAAACGAACGCAAAATGACGTAGTTAAACAAAATTCACAAACAATTCAAATTAGAATTTTAAGTACATGTGCGCTTCATTATTAATGAACAAAACAAAAGTTTAGCTTATATGTGCTGCATGAATTTCGACATGATGACTTTGTAGCTGGTTTAACCATCTCCTATTTTCGATTTCAAGATTGCCTTTATCTGAGGCTTGTCTAATTGCCGATTGTTGCTTATTGCTTTTGAAGGTAAATTTAAGTGGACTCGCTGGGTCACTGATTTACCTTTCCCCTTGTTCTTCTCTTTTCTAACCTCTTTACGCCACTCTGTATCCTCTCCCAATACACAAAGTACCCTTTGAATATATGCGAACCCCTCCAGACTAACTTTTTAATTCATCGCTTAGAGAGCTTCCTTATATTATAAAAATGAATCACCAACCTTTTTCAAGCAAAACTTAGATATATGAGACAAGCAGAAATATATATATATATGGTAATTTATAAGGAGCTGTTGATCTGAACCCTTAGGACTATATCGGGTTTCCTCACGAAGGACTTCTGAGTATCTCGGAATTTCAAGACTTAGTCACACACCTCTAAAATGCAATAATATATTTAAACTTTCATTGTTGTAAGATATCAGTCCTACTCTAAATTAGATTGTAGCACTTTATTGCGTAAGTTAGGTATTATCTAAGTACATCTTGTCTCGACCTGAATGTGAGTCGGTCAATCGAAGGAGTGTAAAAAGCAAATTTATAAGATCTATCTGGATGGTCGTAGTCTACACAAGTTGCATGAGAATGGTGTGACATCCTTGCTTGCATCCAAATCACACCTTAAGGTTATTACTTAACATGGATTGTGCTGTCGTGATAACCAGGTGAATAGACTTCCTAACTAGTCGGTTTAAATAAATACTCTCAGTAGACAACAGCATATATCAGTTTTACCATAATAAACAAATACGAGATGTAACCGCCGCCTTATGTGTCTGTCCATGACATCTAATCTAATGATGTACGTTGGTTGTCTTTAAGATTGACGGGGATCAGTAAACTGTTCAACATTCAGCGCCTTGTCGGCCGAATGATTTGGGTATGTTCCAGTGATATTTTACTGGTTCCATAAATAATCATATTAAAAAAACTATTCACCAAGATTACATCTCCATATCGTCAGATGTTTCACTCTCAAAGACCAATACAGAATCCATTAGTATGTATATGTGAGCTTGTGAAAGAGAAACCCTCTAGCCATTTCTTCCACATCGCCAAGTGATGCTCCCCCAATACTTTTGTTGTTGTTCCCAGATTCCTTGTACTACAGCGTAATATGTTCATTTTTGATATCCACAATAATAACTACCGTTGTATGACATAATTCATTTGACCTATCATCACAAATAGCATCATTTTTAATTTGGCAGGATCACTGAATAATTCATAATTCGCAAGTTAGTTGGAGGGCATCGATAAATAGTTCTACACCAGAACGGACTGGCCGTCCAGTGCCCTTAGTTTTTCAGCGATTGTCTAACTTTGATCGGTTAAGGGTGTCTACAAATGCATGTGTTTTTCCTTGGGCTAGGGGGTCGCTAAAACCAGTAGCCATCCGATAAAAGTTGTGAAACTCATAAGATGTCAGTTAAAATCAGGCTAGAGAAGAGAACATTTTAAGTAGGACAAGTAAATGAATTGATTAACTGAATAAACATAATGACTATGTAGATTATTATGCAAAACCGAAAAGTAAACGGAACTAATAAGAATCAAAGATATATGAGATTAGTAATATGATTCCGCTTTCAACGTCTGCTGATATAGATGTAGACACACTTGGATGACTTATAGATTCGAATGACTGAAGCACTGAAAGTCGATCAAATATTCTTAATAATAATAATAACATATTCTCAAGTAACAGTCTGTCACATGAGACATGCCAGTTTATAGGCAAAATCAAATTGTTGCAGAAGATACAGTCTCCACTGTATTGGGTTACTCAGTTAGGTTGATATTTGATAAAGTACATTGGCCACGAAATTATGGGGAATAAAACTTCTCTCATATGAATGTAAATAATATTATTGAGACTTGTATTATCAATATGATAGTTGGCGCGCTTTATGGAGGTTACTAATGGTCGAGAATAAATCCACTCAAAACTGAGAGCTTTGAGAAACCGCATCCTTATACTCCTCTGGAACATCCGAGGCATTAATGGTGGCGCGGGACGAAGTCACCCGTTCCATATGTGTTTTCGGTGGCATACCTTATGAGTGCTAAGAAAGAGAGTAAGTAAAAGAAAAGACGAGAAGCAAAGCAGATAGCATGTCAAAGTATATGAAAGAGTTTAGAAGTGTACGTTTTCAGAGTAAGAAAACGAAACACTAGGCGATTAACAAGAGTTTAGGGCATTATGGGCTTATTATGATCGGCCACAGTTGATCAGCATCCATAAGATTAGTGTGATCTGTCTAATTGTAATATTACAAAAATGACCCTCAGAAAGGATGGTGCAACTCTAACCATTAGAGAGATTCGGAATCTGAATATTAGAAGTAGGAGCCTAAAGGTATGATTAATAACCAATAAATAATGGAAGACGGTAAGCCATGTATTATATCACTTTTAGAAACGAGAGTCCATACATTACCTTATAGAGAAACATTAGATTGTTCCTCAGTCAACGGTGCCGTAAACGTACCAAGCAGAGGTGTTTAAAACTACCTGTCTAGATGAGAATGGAGTCACATCCTATCAGTTGGCGTGTAGAGCGTCTTTGGATATATTTACTCTTATCTTGTCTGTGATATTCAATGTTCAGAAGACAAGAGACTAGTATTCGAGGGAGGATTGTACACATATCCTTTAACGTGTATGCGTAGCTACTGTTGTGAAGAAACTTTTGATTGTGAAACCAATTAGCCGTCTAGATTAAGAAACCATAAAGGAGAAATGTACTTCTAATTTTAATCTTCCTGTGTGATAATACGTAGGTCGTGAACTGATTTAAATGTATGGACTCTAGTTTCATTCAAATAAAGTTGTGGTTCATTGGGATGTTTTCCAGAATTCATACTTTTTGTTGTTAAATGGTAATCACCGTTTTTCGCTCCAGATATTTGGGTTGTTTAAGTCAATTTGAATCTGTGATACATTTACATTTGAAGCTTTAGGCTTAAAACTGTATATTATTTTGAGATGATCGGCGTATAAGTATAGTCTCTCAAGTTTTATGGTATTACATATATCGTTTATGTACATACGAAACAAGAGTGCATCTAATACACTTCCCAGGACGACTCCACTAGTTATTGGTCTAGGCAATGAGAGAGAGAGTTATTATACCTTAACATTTGTTTACGTCCTATTAAGAATAAAGCAGACCATCAATATAGTGTGTTGTTGGTTCCCAAGGACTTTAATTTGACGAGAAGCCTTTTGTGTTGGATCTTATCAAAAGTTTTCCTAGAATTTAAGAATAAGACTGATACAAGAAGTCCGTTGTTTCATTTCAGCGTTATATTATTCAGGTAGTCTACTAGATATGTAACTCATGATCTGGACCTAAGAAATCCATACTAGGAGGCCGAGAATATGTTATTAGTAGGTTAATGTTGAACCGCCTCCTTTACCATTTTTTCCATCAATCTAGATACCAATGAGATTTTGTTTATGGGCCGGTAATTTTCAGGTGCTGTCTTAATTTCGGAATGACATATGTAGTTTTCCAAACATTAAGGTAACACACTGTAGAGAGTGATATCGTAAATAAACCGAGAAGTGAAACGCACAGATCATCATCCCCAATTTATAGAATGCTAGCCGGAATATCATCTGGTCCGTCAGTGTAGAAGTGCTTCAGTGTGCTAATTGCTTTAAAAATATTCCGTACATTGAAGTCTACATTGGTAACTTCACAGAAAGGTACTGGAATTCGTTCTGATTCATTTAGTGATTTTTATCGGTTAATGAAAGACAAAAGTGTTCACTAAACAGCTCCGTAACAGGCTTACGACCCCGATGTTGTATACAGTAAAGAAGGTTCCTCAATCAGCCCTTTTATGTGGTTTTGGAAGCTTTACCAATCGACCTTGCGATAGTTTCTACGAAGTGTTACAGTTTCACGTCTACCGGTTATGGTTTTTATAATAAAGCTATCTGGCGACGTTTTTCCGATATACACAGTATTGGGAGTGAGGCCACTGGTAAAGACCAAGTCCATTATGTTTTGACGCCTAATAGGGCCGCTGACATACTGAATCCACTGTCTAAGTCTTATGTATTAAATAAATGATTCCTAACATCTAGGCGCCTTGACTGGAATACAAGAAATTTCTGGCACATTGAATACACGACGAATAAATTTATCTGTGAATGGTAGGGATGATGCTAGTGTGAATACCTCTGATAATTCTGCTATTTCACCTATTGATGCGTCAGGTTGACGGTAGACACAGCGAAACAGTTAGGAAATGGAATTTGACAACTTTAAAACAATCCAAACCGAATCCTGCAGTTTGTTTACTTCAGCCATATCATATGGTATTGAGTTTAAGCTAGAGTAAGTGTAAATAATGTATCCTCCTCGCCCTTTTAACCCGTCAAGATATGCCTACTTCGGAAATATTACTCTTAGTCCCTGCTTCAGATATCATTAAGTGATGGTTAATAAATAGATACAAAAAGGGCAAAATTCATCTTTTTATTACAAATCGACCTAGCGTTAATAAGACACATAACAGACTAATGACCCACCAAGTTAAAATGAGTAAGAGTATCTCGATTAAAGTTGTCGTAAACCTAAAGGATATAATATGGGTTTAAAGTGAAATCGGTTATTCTTCAACAGCTCGTTGTTTAGAGAGCTAGAGGAGGATATATCAAATGAGCTAATGAAGTAGCTTGGAGAGTTGACTCAGGAGGAAAGGGTGGGAATACTCTCCTGTCCAAACTGCACGGGGGAAGCAA